CTCTTTTATGTGCTTTCGTTTAGCACCACTTCAGTCTATCACCTTTCTTTTTGTTCTATATTGCTCTCCTTCATTTCAAGACTGCACTCTTCTTGATGTTTTTTCTGATCATATTGACCAAGTCCTCTCTTTTTATCCATCAACCAATATTGTTGTTGCCGGTGACTTTAATGGTCATCACACTAATAGGCTTGGCTCTCGTGTCAATGACTCTGCAGGCATTAAAGCCCACAACTTTTGACTTTCTCAACCCCTAACTTAAATAGTCAACTTTCCAACTTACTTTACAGACGACTCGAATTGTTTACCTTCTCTACTCGACTTTCTTGTTTCTGATCCTAGTCAGTGCTCAATTTCTCCACATTAGGTGCTTCAGATGAACTATTTTCCTTTTCTTCTTAATCATCAGAATCCCTCTATCAATGTACCTCTTACGACTACCTTAAAGCTGACTAGGACTCTTTCTGTGATTTTCTTCATGATGGCCCTTGGGTAGAAATCTTTCGTCTAACTGCTGACAAATGTGCTTCTTACATAACCTCGTGGTTTCAGGCTGGCATGGAATCTTTTATTCTGTTTCGATTATTCCACGTCAAGCCTCACTTTTTTCCATGGTTTTCCTCTCATTGTGCTGCTGCAATTTCCGATCGAAACCATTACTTCCATATCTATCAGCAAAACAATTCTCCAGAAAACAGGCGTCAGTTTTTTATTGCTAGAAACCATTGTAAAAAGTTTTTGTTCTACGCCAAATCCCGTTATTCTTAAGTTATGAAATCTCGTATTTCATCACATAAATTAGGCACTAGTGACTTCTGGGGAATCTTTAATAGTATTAATAATAATAACAAATCTGTAATTCCACCTCTCTTGTATGGTTCCGACTTTATCACCTCACCTAAAGACAAAGCTGAATTGTTTGCTAAGAAATTTTCATCAATATTATCTCTTAATTCCACTAGTTGCGTTCTACAACGTAACTGTTATAGTCTTGCAGTGTTCTCTGGAGCTGTCATCTATACTTTCAAAACCATTCAACAAGAGTCTTGTTTTCCAGCCGGCTGGAAAGCAGCATCTGTTATCCCTATTTTTAAAAATTCTGGAGAGTGATCTGATTTATCTAACTACCGCCTCATTAGTCTTCTTCCTATTATAAGCAAGTTTTTTGAATCTTTAATTAACAAAAACATTTTTCCAATCTATCTTGGAAACCATATATCAAATCCATTGCAAATACTAAAATGGGCACTGCTCTAAAGAGCTAGCGTGTTACTCTTCATTCGATGAAGTCTCATCCTTTTTCTGTGACTGCTCCTAAGTGCTTCAAAAACTTTTATTTGTCTAGTTTTTTTCCTCAAACATCAGTTCTTTGGAACTCGCTTCCTTCATTTTGCTTTCCTGATTCATATAATTTGCAATCTTTTAAGTTGCCTGTCAATCGTTATCTTGGTCTACAAACTTCATCTTTTCTCTTCCAGTAACATCCTACTCTAATTAGTGGTTGTTTGCAGCCTTGTAGGGAGCCGAAGATGTTTAAAAATATATATATTCAAAGATTTATCCAAGGCATTCGACACCGTTGAGCACACAAAATGTTTTTTAATTTTTCGTTGTGTTGAAAGCGAGAAAACTACATCATCTAGTACTTTTAGTTTTAAAGTCGTCTAAATAACTTTTCTAAAATGCCGTTTTCATTTAGAAAATTTTACTTTAAATGTGTCAAATGTGTTTTGTTCATTTCAATAACGCCTAAAAAATGAAAAAATATTCATACACCTTACTATTAATGTTTCAGACTAAAAAAGCAGAGATCACTACACAATGAAATTCTCCAGGCCTCAAACAAATTATGATCTTATTATGAAAATACGTAAGCTACGTTTCTAAGGTGTCCAAAATAAGTAGGAGTCAGGGAAAAATTAAAGACTCCAATCAACCTGAGGAAGCCAATCGGCACTTGATGTACTAATGTATGATATATGTCATTACCTAGATTCTTCTATATATATAAAAAAGTATGTAAATAAAGTTCAATTTTATTGAACGTTATTTGTTTATATTCACAATATCAAAGAAATTAAGTAAATAAAATAAATAAAAATCACGAAAATGTCTTGACAACCCATAACTACTCCTACCTGTGTGATCATAATCACTCCTGGAGACCAAATATTACCAGATTTGATTTTCCTGTTATTAATTACCTATATATAGACATAAAACATGTACCATCTAATTGAAAAACCATTGGGATATTCCAGGACCACTCTAGACTAAAATCACTTGAGCAGTCATGACCACTCCTGAAGACTGAATATGCCTAGTTTCAAACTCTTTGACCGCAATTAACTATATTTAGACATACAACATGTCCTATCTAATTGAAAAACATCAGGGCATCTCAGGACTACCCTTAACTACCGCTAAAACTACCATTTGAGCGGTAATAACCATTTCTAAAGACCTAATATGTCCAGATTTGAATTCTCTGACAGCAGTTACCAATATTTAGGTATACAGTATGTCCTATCTAATTAAAAAATCATCGAGTAACCTCATGACCACCCTTGACAGCCTCTAAAAAAACTTGGTGGTCATGACCACTGCAAAATTGAAATAGAACCCTAAAATGAAATCCATGGCCCAAAAAACCTCTATAAACATGTCTACATTTAATATATTTTATAAACCTCTATAAAATATATGTCTATGTTTAACCCATAAATAGTTTAGCTATTTTTAGTCAATTCTGGCTTACTGTGCCGCGTTTTGAAAATAAAATGTTTTTTAGAAATAGAAAAGCATAGGGTTATACTGCGCTTAGCAAATAACTGAACACAATGTCTGTTAGCTCTTATAAACTAAAAATAAACCGCACAACTTCTACGTTTTTTTGAAAATGGCGCATATCGCGTTATGAAAATAAATTCTTCATATCTTCTTTTTAACTATTTGTATCAAAATATATATGTATATATATTTAAATATACACATATATATATACAAGGCCGGTGAAATAGGGGGGGGGGGGTGCGGGATTTGTGACCCCCCTCCTTCAATGATTTTTAGATAATCTAGACAATTGGCAAATGTTCTCATGGCAGTCGGCAAATTTTGGAAAACGAGGACTTTTTTTTTTAATCGGCAAAATGTATTGGCACCCCCCACGTGACACCTACTCGCATATATATATATATATATATATATATATATATATATATATATATATATATATATATATATATATATATATATATATATATATATATATATATATATATATATATACAGTGGCGGAACTTCAAAATTTGGGCCCCCCCGCAAAAGAATGTTTTTTTTGCGGAAAAGAGTTTTATAGTATAAATATTATTGAGAGTATAACTTTTTTTATATGAGGGCCCCCTATAGCTGGTAGGCCCCCCCGCAACGCAGGGTCCTGCGTCCAGTAGTTCCGCCACTGTATATATATATATATATTCTTTTTTTTGACAGATTTGTATTTTAAAATATTTTCTATTTTTAACTATTTTTATTTTTAAATACTATATATTCTTTATTCACTATATGTATTTTTAAATATTATATCTTCTCTTTCGAGTAATTAAGGATATTTGTATTTTTAATTAATATATCTTCTTTTTTCTCTATTTGCTTTTTTAAATATTGTATCATTTTTACTATTTTTTTCGCTAAATTTTTTTGATTTATTTTCATATTTTACTATTATTATGATCTGTAAGGGCTCTGTGAAAAGATTATGTTGGTATTTTACAACCCATTTTTACTTTGAGCCCCTGTCTGTTTATTATTTATATATTTGTAATTAATTTTTATTTTTTGCGAAAAGTCAAAAAAAATAAAAATAATAAAAATAGTCCAAGACATTACTAGTGTTGTTACCAACTTCAACTTAATCGACTAAAAGTCGATTTATCGAAAGTCGAAAATAAATAACTTTATTATTTATATGGCAATTTATTTCAAAAAAATAAATTATTACCATATTTCGACTAAATCGACTTTTAACTAACTTTTAAGTCCACTAACTCTTTTAAAATTCTTTTAAGTCAACTAACTCGATTTTTAAAATGTATTAGTTGATTTTAGAAAATATATAAGTCGATTTAGACGACAATTGAATTATTTAATAGTCTTAAAAATACTAGACATTACATTATCCAATGTACGGTGAATAAGGCATAATCATATCAATTTTTATTGTGTTGACAATAATAGAAAGTGATTTCAATAAAACTTGTCAGTGTACCGTTTTTAACCTTTAAAAATTTCACGGACTTACTGGATTATCCATTAAACTAATTAAAAACTTAATTATTCTTAAAAAACAACATTTTATTTATCATTTATTTAGCTTTTTATTATAATCTGAACGGAGAAGCAGGTTGATCGCGGTACTAATGTGTAGGGTGGATTTGAACTTTGAACTTTCTTGGTTGTGACCCAATCTTCTACCACTAGTTCACTTCCACATTTTTAATACCACACATTTAATTTGCGATCCACAAAAATACAACAAAGAAAAAAACAGGAAGAGATTATTGATAGTTATCTGCTTAGAGGTTTCGTTACTTATCCATTATATCGCTAATATTTCATTAGTATTATTTTACTCATAATATTTTAACGTTATTTCGCTTATTTAATTAGTTAATCACACAAGATTACTCAAATAATTTAAAAACATTTATTACTAAAAAAGTTAAAACTTTAAGGTATATTATTAACTAAAACTTTAAGGCATATTATTAACTAATAAAGTATAAAAAGTAAATTTATAATGCTAAAATAAAACAACTGATATATAAAGATAAAGTTTAAGACAAATTTGTTAAATTTGACAAATTTAATTTAATTTTTTACTTACTGAACAAATAATTAAAAAAAAATTTTAAATTTATTATTAAAAAAAAAAAATGATTTTAGCGATTTTTTTATCGCAATATTCATAACAAAAATTGTTGATTTAAGATGCACTAAAGTTATCAGAAATTTCATTTATTTAGCTTTAACTATTTACATAACAATCGATACCAGATAGGCGATAATTATAGGCAATATATAAATTGATACCAGATAGACGATACAAATAGACGATACCAGATCACGAGTATTTGAGAAAAACGATACCAGATCACAAGTATTCGAGAAAAAAAAACATGATTGAAATATATATGTATTAAAAATTCAATTTATCAGCGGTAACTACTGGTATTAAATCTTGACCAGCTATCCACCTAAATACAAATTAAAAAATTAGAAAACTCTTATCGATATGCAATAAAAATATCTATACTACTTTTTATATTTTTAAAATATTTTGTATAATAAACAAAAAAATAAGTTATTAAATCTAATATATGTCATACCGCAAGAGACCTACCTAAAGGTTTTTCTTTTAATAAAATAAAAACGTGAACAATATTTAAACATTTTAGTACTAAATAAAGTCTACGTCTTGAAACAAGACTTGTTACTCACTTTTTAGCAAGACAAGACAAACCAAAATTGAGTTGCAAAAGACTAAACACTGATCTTGTCGTAAAATCTCTTAAATTAGTCAAGACCGACTATATAGAATCACAACTTAATCAAGAAATACCAAGACTTTTTTAGTTATTTTTTCTAACGATACTAGTATGGAAATATTATAAACTTCGTCAAATTTTCGAAAAGAAAAAATTTTATCAATTTTTAGTTTTAGTTTACATAATCATTTATCAACAAATTTTTAAATGTTTTTTTAATTTTTCTATTTGCACATCAATAGTGACGTTTAACCAACATAAAAATTACAAATGTCTTTATAAAATGCAAGATCCTGGAAGTCTCCTTTAGTCTAATAGTAATCACTTGACAATACTAGTCGTATTGGTAAGAATAAAAAGAAGCCAATTCTCCTATGTGATTAAGGCCTTCAAGTTTAGTAGACTTTTGAGATATTCTCCCAGTAGCCTCTAAGATTAAATCTTTCTTGCTTGGTGTAGAGAATGTAAGAATCTTTCCTATGACAGCTATTTTTGTAGACCTGTAAAGGTCTACAAAAATAGCTGTCATAGGAAAGATAAATAAAAAAAATAGCTCATAGGATCAGCTAATAGCAGTATTTATTGTTATTGCATAAAATAAACAATAATACCTTTTGGTTGAAGATACCAACTATTGTTGTCTAGACACTGTGGACCAGAGTGACCGCCAGGTTAAGTTGTTCCCCGATTTTTCTTTTTCAATAGTTGGGTATACATTAGTAGACACCATTTATGACATTAAAAACTTCTGAGTGATTGGACAAAGTAAAAAAAAATTTGCTCAAAAATATTTATTTTCAGCCATAAAAATCTTAATAAATTAGGTTGAAAGTCCGTTGAAGATCATCAAATATCAAAGACATTGTTGATGAAATTAATGCTTCTAATAATTCTGAACGTGCAAAGTCTTCCAGACTATGTTTAACATGCTTGGGTTTTGTAGGTTAGAATTTTAATTATTATTGTTGTTTTATTTTTTCATATATATAATCCTTCACATAACAAAATTGATTGTACTTAATAAAATATTTAATTAAAAATTTTGTTTATTTGTTTTCAAACAAAAATAGTGCAAGAAGTAGCTCATATCTGTACAGAGAGCAGAGCTGTCAACAATCGATTGAAGCAGCAGAACAGCTTGGACCTAAATATTCAGAACGGTATATTAACGGTATATTGAAACTCACGCAAGTATATTAAGCTGTTCTTTTAATATAAATACATATATTTTAAAATTCCAAATAATAAACATTAATAAATATTTTATTAATGGATGTTTCCAGGTATACTTAAGCACAAGATAGAAGCTGAAAATATTTGTAGAGGACAGAAGTTTCAGCTGGCTACTCAAGGGTCTTCTTTGAACATTGTGGTAGGAATTTCTGACAAAAAAACTGACTGAATTGAGCTGAAACAGGTGTCCTTTGGTACTGTTATGGAGTTGGTTAAATCTCTTGAGCTTTCAAAAAATCAAACAACGAATTTTTGTTCCAAATATAGATCTAGTATGGGAAGTCATTACTAGAACATTGGTTCATGTAAAAGATACATCTACATTTCTACAGAACGTCATTACAGAAAGAGGAATAGATCCACATGACTCCATATTGAGAATAGGTATGGATTCAGGTTAGAGATTCCTTAAAGTTACTGTAAATGTTTTTAATCGCCTGGAAAAAAATCCTTCAGCTTCAGAGCTAGATGATGCTGGAGTAAAGAGATCCTTTCTTATAGCAATTGTTGGGGGTTTCTGAAGCTAACAATAATCTTTGAAAGCATATTGAGCCTCTGAATTTAAACGATGTAAAGCTTCACGTTGCATTTGATCTTAAATGTGCAAATTCAGTGTTCTGAATTAGTAGTAATGCTGGGAAATACAGTTGCTTATATTGTGAGGAATCCTGCACTCTTGAGCCTGGTATCAAGAGAACACTTAGGTCCTTGGATGAGCACTACAACAATTTTACCCTTGATGGAAAGAAAAAGTTAAAAATGTCACACTTTAAAAATGTTATAAATTCAAGACTATTGTACAAAGAGGAAGATCCTAAAACTCTTCTTGAAGAGTTGATTCCTGTTCCTAAGATACATGTTCTAATGGGAATAGCAAGTAAACTTGCAGTACTTCTAGCTAGTGTATGGCCTTTGTTTGAGAAGTGGTTACAATCAAATTACATTATGTTTCAAAGACACCAAGGCGTAGGACTTGACGGAAACAATGCAAGCAAGTTCCTGAAGTTAGTAGATATACTTGAAAGAGATATTATAAACAATGGAAAATATGACTTATTACCAACAGTATATAGTAATAGTCTTAGAAAATTTAAATGCCTTTAAGCAGAAGCGTTTAGTATGGTAGCAGGGGATAAATCAGCACTACTGTTCTGGAGTTTAAAAAGTCCTATGAAGATTTGATTGAATACGTGCATGCCACATTTGAGGGTATAGAGCTCAGTGTTACACGGAAAGTTCACATAGCAATATGTCATATACTTCCTTTTCTTCATTCTAATGACTGCGGCCTAGGAGTTTACTGAGAGCAAACAGGAGAAGCCGTTCATCATGAATTCTATTAATGTATACAAAACTTTTGAAAAAAAAATCAGACCTGGGAAACATTTTAATCCGGTGGTCACTCAGGTCCACAATGATAAGTTATAGCTATTTTTAATTTATTTGTTTTAATTTTTTTTGAAAATTATAACACTCCAGAAGTTCGGAATGTTATAAATGGTGTCGTCTAATGTATACTTAACTATTGAAAAAAAAAAAAAATCAGACTTGGGGAACAACTTAACCTGGCGGTCACTTTGGTCCATAGTGAAGACCTTTAAATAAAGCACTAGCAACATCATAATACCAATGCATTAGGTTGATTTTATCCTAAGGGATTGATGGAAGGGAGTATTCTAAATAATATTTAGAATACCCGCTTGAAATGTGTTGATTAATTACAATCGGTATAAAAAGTTTTAAAAACATTTGGAATTATGCTTAAAAATATATGGAATAATGAACTTACCATGACCTGTATGATACGGGTCATAATAAGTCTATTCCAAACCAACCTTTTCCATACTTATTCTTTATACAGTCATTTTATTTTAACAATTTTTAGTAAGTGGTAAAAAATAAAAACCTGTCAAATCTTTGTATTGAGTTAACGGTTAATGTTTAATACTTTATAACTTCTTATTATAAAATTGAAAATTTCTATAAAAAAAATAGGTACAGACTGTAAATTTTTAAATAAAAAATAAGTCTAAAAATAGTTTGAAAGATAAATTTTTTTAATTAAGTTTCTATTTCTAGCTTTTAAAAAAAATTTTTCCAGGCCATTCGCAGCTTATTAGGATCTTCGTCTGGTTAATTAGTTTTAAAGAAAGTAAAAGTTTGAATGTAAAGTCGTTTTTCGTGTAAGTTGTCTCTTTAATTTAAATTAAGTATCTCTATCATGACATATGTGCAAAAAAAATTGCTGTTTTGATGTTTAACGAAATAATTTAAGTTTTTTTAAAAACTCTCTCCCTTTTGCTGTAAACCCCTTTTGCTGTAAACCAAAATTACGGAGATTTTACTGCAATGCATTTTTTCAAATAAAAGTAAAACTTTGTAAAAATATCTATAGAACTTCAAAAAAATTTTGTTCTTAAAAAATCAAAGATTAAAAATAAATAAATGTGGGAGCACAAGGATTTGAACCACGACATTTTGATTCAGAACGCTGCCAGCTAACCACTTCGGCTACTTAATCTTGTTATATATACTTAAATTGTTTGAAGAAAAAACTTACTATTTAATAAACAAAAGAATTCATAAAATAAATTAAAATTAAAAAGGTATTGCCACAATTAACACTTTATTTAATTTTTAACATTACATAGTTTGAAGTTTACATAAGTTAGTTATTTGCATACACCTTTCATTCACATTTACTTATAAAAAAAAGTACTGCAACTCCTTCTCGTTATTAATGCGGCCGTTGCGCAGTGGTTAGAGTGCTTGCTTTAGAAGCAGGAGATCCAGGTTCGAAAAGAGCTCTGGACATATTTTCGCGTCACGGTAAGGAAGGAGGCATGAATTCCTGGTTAAATGCACTTCTTTTGTGACACAAAAGAAGTGCAAGATATTTCATCACCCAATCTTAAGATTACCTCATATATTATTGTTTTAAATATAGCAATTTTTCCCTTCCTAATTAATTATACAAGAATAACAAATTCAACAAATCTACATTTATTCTTCTTTTGTTAATAAAATAAGGAATAGTGGGAATGATTACTCAAAAAGCCAAAATTTAATAATAATAGTTGCATAAAGGTAATTCAAATATTTAATTTTGTCAAATCATTAGTGTTGGCCTGATCACTTTTTTTTACCTGAAATTTTTTGCTGGAGTGTGCCCTTTAATATTTTTAAAATTAAAAATATTCTATTTATGTATATCAAAATACTTTGTCTCTGAAAATATTTATTGTTAAAATAATAAACCTTGTTATCTAAATATTTTAAAAACAATTTTCCCAAGCTTTTTGTTTAAAAAAAAAACAAAAAACTTCCAAACTTTAGGTTTATGAAAAAAAAAAAAAAAAATGAACTTTTGAAAAAAAATTGAACTTTACAAACTAAAATACCTGTAAGCTATTTTAATAAGATTAACAGATGATTTGTCGTCTACATGCATTGTGGCAGCTTCATTGTACAGCAGTGAGCCTAAAAGTTACAGACATAACATAATGTCACACAAAAACAAAAACATAGACATAAAAAAATTAGAACAACCATTACGGAAATAACCATAAGTATTCTATGGAACCATGGTTTTCGCATGGAAAACCATGGTTCCATGGAAAACGGAAATCCCATGGAATTTCAATGGGTGAACCATGGTTTTTTTTTCATAGCTCACATTGCACCATGGGTTTTACAAATGCGCTTTTAAAAGTTGCTGTCATAATTCGTAAAGTTACAATCATTTCTAACTTAAGTAAACAATATTTTCTGCATTCTTCTGTTTTTCTGTATTTAATAAGACTGTAAACTTTATGTTTTTTTATAATGCATCACATTTAATATTAAAACTTCAAACTAAACATATAGATATGAACAACTAGACATATTTACAATAGCTAGAATATGATAAATGTATGCATTTTATAATGGATCACAATATGATATTATCAGAGATGTTGGTCTCAAGACTTAAACTTGGTCCCAAGAGGTTTCAAGACTTATTTAACTGTCTTATTCTGTCTTGGTATTAAATCAAAATGTCTTGGTCTCAGTCTTGGCCTATGCTGTCTTTACATTATCATATTATAATGCATTTTAAAATGCATATATTTATTATTTATACATTTAATTATATATTATTTATGCATGTACTTATTCTAGCCATTGCCAATAGCCTTGCTTACTTTGCATAACTTGTAATAGTATAGCAAGTACGTCATGTGAATCAGTTTGATTTTTAATGTTGATTTGGTTTACAACAAATATTTTAGTTTTGATGTACATTAGATAACTAGTGTATTAATACACTAATTAATTATGTACATTGAAACTGATATAATTAATGTAATAATATGTCTTTTTGTTGATTTTCTATATAAATGTTACTCAACATTTGTCAACATTTATATAGAATGTTTAAAAAGTTGTGTGTAATTATAAAGTAAGTTATAATAGATAATTGTAAGTATGAATGAGTTAGTTTTAAAAAAAAATTAATTAGTATGTATATATTAATTGTATGATGCATTGTCTAGATTGGTGAAATAGACGATTATACTAACTGTGGTAAAAACAATAATGAATATCAAAATGTGAATGGCACTTTGTTTGACGTTTAGCTGGTTCCATGGTTTTTCCATAGATGGAAAAACCATGGAATTTCCATGGGTATTTGGAACACTTTTCATGAGTTTACCATGGAAAACTCATGGGTTTACCATGGAAAACTCATGGGTTTACCATGGAAAACTCATGGGTTTACCATGGAAAACTCATGGGTTTACCATGGAAAACTCATGGGTTTACCATGGAAAACTCATGGGTTTACCATGGAAAACTCATGGGTTTACCATGGAAAACTCATGGGTTTACCATGGAAAACTCATGGGTTTACCATGGAAAACTCATGGGTTTACCATGGAAAACTCATGGGTTTACCATGGAAAACTCATGGGTTTACCATGGAAAACTCATGGGTTTACCATGGAAAACTCATGGGTTTACCATGGAAAACTCATGGGTTTACAATGGAAAACTCATGGGTTTACCATGGAAAACTCATGGGATTACCATGGAAAACTCATGGGTTTACCATGGAAAACTCATGGGTTTACCATGGAAAACTCATGGGTTTACAATGGAAAACTCATGGGATTACCATGGAACCCTCATGGGTTTACAATGGAAAACTTATGGGTTTACCATGAATAATAGGATGTGTTATACTATTTTTTTTTTCCAGATTGAAAACCCTGTACTCTAAAAACTTGTATTTATATATAATTTTACTAAAAAAAGTTTAGATTTAAAAATCTGAAATGATTTAGCTGAAATTGATATTTAGTATTCACTTAAATTTGTCGAAAATTTCTTGCTAGAATACAGATTTTTGCTTGTGGTTGTATATTTTCGTAGGCTTAAGTTTATTTTTTTACTCTTTTAAAATTATTATTATTAAAATGTTAATAATAGTTTCGTTTAAAATCATTTTGCTATCATTTAGTTTATTATCTAATATTATCTAATTTTTATCTAATAAAAATTATTATCTAATAAAATTTTATTTTTATTAAAATTTTTTTTTAACAAATTAAAATTTACATTTCTTTTTTTTTTTGTCATTAAAATCAAATCTTTCTTTGACCTATTAGTAGACATCAATTTTCTTGATAAGTCCTGCCCTTTTATAAAACCATCTCTTTTTTCTTGAGAATAAATTTTGCTTGCTGCTTCTGTTACCTGTTTAACTCGTCTTTCAATAGACTGTTCATGACAAGGCCAATTTGAAACAATCATAGGTTGAAAATTATCTGTTTTACTTCTTCTGTTGATCACAAGTAAGAATAGGCTCATAGGATATATTCCTGTCAATTAGCTGTATAAGTGTTGTTGTTGCATCAGGTTTCATGTCTGGAGTTATTCTAGCTCTCACATTTTTATCACCAGTTTGAAGTTTTTCATCACCAGGACCTCTAATTTTCCCAACTAACTCTCTACTGTTCTTTCTTTCCTCTACATTCTCTGAGCAGAGCATGGTCTGTATGATGCACTCAGAGAAAGCATACCACGCTGAACGTCGAACTGTTGGCATAACAATTTCTACAACTTCACTTGATTGATGTTTCAGAAGGCTAAGCTGGTAAAGAATGTCTCAGTCCTTCAGTAAACCTGTACTCGACTTTAATTTTAAACCACATAGGCATGTAAACTCCAACAATGAACTCAATTATTAATTTAAGATTTTTAAAATTTTTGCCTTTCAACTTATGTTTTTAACCTAAACTCTGTAAAGTCTGTTGGTTGTTGTCAACCATCTGGAATGATTAACTGGCCCAATTTCAAGTAAAGCCAAGTCTGCGGGTATATTTCAGCTTCTAATAGCAGAGACTATTTTTAGCCATTAAACTGATTGGAGGATAAATTTTTGATTGCTTTATTCTTTAGAGTAATAAGCAGATTTCGGTGAAGAATTACTTCAGCGTGTTTCATATGTTTTTGAACTTTTTCAGTTGTAAAATGGAAAAGATGCTTACCACAGGTCTCTTGACATACTGCACAATGTTCCTCTTTGATTGTAGCAGGATAGCATTTTGACAAACCTTTGACTACTAATTAAACTTTTGTATTATCAATTCTGCCATTAAAAAAAAACACAATCAATAATGGTAGACCTGCATTGAGTATCAAACTCTCTAGAAAGGGACTGCATAATTTTTTCCTGAGCTCTCTTGACTTTGCTGTGGTCAATAACCAACTTGATATCATCTTTAGTTATTCCTGCATCTATCTAAGCTGCCGTTACAATTGCAGCTGTTTCCCGTAAGCCTGTACCATACCATATGCTATGTTGGAAATACTTTCATAATTCTTTTGTCTTTGTAAACATTCCTGATCTTCATTCTGTCAACACACTAGATTGAGTTCAGTATTGCTGTTTGTTGCAAAATATTCATTGCTAAATATCATTTGTTTCGCTAAACTTAAATTCAAACTTTTCCTCCTGACTTCTAATTGTTTGTTGCAGTTATTCAGATGCTTTTTGCTTTAGCTATAAAAAGTAATTAAATTTTCATCAATTGATGTTTTGTAAAATATTGTAAGTTCAAATAGTTTTATGAGTATATTTTTTATTTGTCATTTCCTAATATAAGTAAAATATAATTACTCGCATGTAAAAATTTCATTTTGAATTTAATAAGATTTTTTTATTTTTAAGTTAAAACTGGCAAATATATTTGTAATACAACTAAAATTAATTTAACTTTGGAGTTTAATTAATTTTTCTTTATTAATTAATTACTAATTAAAAACATAACTAATTAAAAAAACTTTCTTCTTCATTCAATCTTCTTTCTCCAATTCTATGTAGCTTTTTGTTTTTTTTTCAAGTCAGCTAATCCAATTTGATGCGAACCGGTAGCTCTTTGCCAAAGTATAAAACTAACTCTTTCTTTGGAATCTTTTTCTTCTTTTTACACATACAGTTAATATGGGCTTCATTGTTACATTCTGAAAAACAATTTTTCTCTTGACAAGTAATAGTTTGACAATTACAGTTCATTATATCAAACAATTAATCAAGTTTTGCCAAAAATCTATCTTTATTCTTTAAGCTTGTTTTTCCCCTAGCAACCAGGTTGGTTGCATTCCATTCATTCACCAATGTTGCAGTAATATAATGTTCAATATGTGTTACAGAATATATATATAAAGCATTGGAGTGGATTCATTTACGAATCAACTTAGAGTAAACATCGTTCATTAGTAATTTTATCGGATAATTTCTTTTGTTTCTATTGTTTCTTTCTTGCAAAAACAGACCATATCTAAGAAGATCTCTTAGCGTTGGTAACTCCGATACAAGAATATCTGTTCCAGAACCTATACATTCACAAAGCTTTGATCCGCTTTTTTTTTTCTAGTTCTTGAGGATATTGACTCTACCATGATTAAATAGCAAAGTTCATAATTTGCAAACTTTTTGCGTAAGTTTTTTATTTTTAAAATTTTTTTATAATACTTTTTAACATTTAACATACAAATTATATGTTCGACAATTTATATAATGGAATTGAAAAACCATAAGACTTTTTTTTCTAGTTGAAACAAACAACAAAATCAAATTGTACAATCAAACATATATTTTATACTTTAAAATTGTATATATTAAAAATATATATGTATGTTGAAATATATATAAATGTATATATTTAAAAATCAATTTTACATTAAGAACAAATTTTTTTGTGTAAAAAAAAGAACTTAATTTTTCACAACATGATTGACATTATCTTCTTAACATTAACTTGCAGTTCAGAGCTTTTTTATTGTAAAACTACTACTTGGAAAATTACCACTCAAGTTTTAATAGAACTTCCTAACTACAACATGGGGTTTATACAGGTTAACTACAACAAAAGGGGGTTTATATCAGAGTTTTATCTTTTCCTGCTGAAGGAGAATTGGACAAAGCTCACGTTAGATAAGTAATTTTTTACTTCTCTGTTCTTGAATAACATTTAGCACTCTTTTTGTAGAATACACTAGCATATTTAATATTTTGGAGTTATAGAGTTGAGAAAGTGTTGTAACCGCAATTAAATTAGTCTCTTCGACTGTAGTGACCTTCTCGGCCTTAGGGAGGTGAATTAACAATATGTATATATATTATATATATATATATATATATATATATATATATATATATATATATATATATATATATATATATATATAAATGTATAAAACAAATGAAATGCATACTTAGCTGCAAAAAACTTAAACCCTTAATTAATTAATGTATGTAATGAAGCTTCTGCAGATGCTAGTTCAGTATGATGTCATGAATGATGTTTTATGATCAGCTAGCATGTAATTCACACAAAGTAAACTCAATTTTTCAGAGAAATATGTACACTTACCCATATAAACTCTAGCCAATGAATAAGATAAATCTCTTGCTGAAACTTCAGAAAATAATTCTTCTTTTAACTGTACTGAATTGATATATCCTTTAAGATTGTCAAAGGAATTAACTAATATAGATTTTGCATTCTGAAGAACATCTGATGTATTTGATGAAGGAGTCAAATTGCGTTGAACATCATAAATAAATGTTTTTAATACCTTAAATAAATTTTAATAAAGTTTAATGGCAACTAAATAAAAATAATTAAACAAAAAAATGCTAAAAAAGTAAGAAATGAAATGAAAATTCATATATATATATATATATATATATATATATATATATATATATATATATATATATATATATATATATATATATATATATATATATATATATATATATATATATATATATATATATATATATAATATATATATATATATATATATATATGTATATATATATATATATATATATATATATATATATATATATATATATATATATATACTATATATATATCTACTATATATATATATCTACTATATATATATATACATATTATATATATATATATATATATATATATATATATATATATATATATATATATATATATATATATATATATATATATATATATATATATATATATATATATATAAATTAGTAGAAAATCACTTAACAAAATTTTTTTTTCATTTTACACTGTGTTTCATCAACAAAGACTCATCAGAAATGAAATATATATATATATATATGTTTATATATATATATATATATATATATATATATATATATATATATATATATATATATATATATATATATATATATATATATATATATATATATATATATATACGTATATATATATGTATATATATATGTATATATATATATATATATATATATATATATATATATATATATATATATATATATATATATACACACACATATATGTATTTACTAATCATATATATGTATATATGTATCTACATGAGCACCTCTAAAAAATTTTCACTTTAGTTTTATTACAAAAATAATTTTATTCCAATAAATTTTTTGAAAGTTGAAAAACATTAAATCCTGAAAATGTTAACAATAAATGAACTACCTGACATGTTTTTTCAAAGTTAATTTTACAACTCAAAGTCCTTGTTGAATCAAAACCATGTAGTTGAATTCAAATCCCTATAGTTGAGTTTAAATAGTCTAACAGTCAAAGTATTAACATAGATAAAAAAAAGCATATGCTATGGGTAGTCCTATTAGGTAGGTCTACAATAATAAGCTTTTACTACCTTGTGGGTTTTAAGGTGTGCAACATTGTTCCCAGAAAATTGTTAAAAGAATAGCAAATCTGCATTGTTCAAGGTTGAAAATGAAAAAATGATGATGAATTTTCAGACAATGAACTAGGGCAGAAATTATTTCTTTTTATGTAATCCACACAAAAAATTTAGCGCAAAAACAGATTTTTTTTATTTTAAAGGGAAATTTATTAATCGTAATTTCAATGGCAAAAGACCATAATAACTCTATGTGAAAGGTAATATATATGTATGTATATATATATATATATATATATATATATATATATATATATATATATATATATATATATATATATATATATATATATATATATATATATATATATATATATATATATACAGTAGCATCCAAAAGTTTGCGGACAGGCAAAAAAATAAAGAATTTTAATTATATTTCAGCACATACTTTACTAAAGCCAACATATTATATACTAATTACAAGGTTTTCAAATTTACAATTAGGTTTTGAACAAATAATTATTATCTAAATAATATTTTTAAATTGGTATACAAATCAACGGTCTTTGATAAGTTCAAAAATTGGCGGACAAAGCATTATTTTTTAAAATAGTTAAAATATTCAATAATATTTGATCAAAATTTTTGCAAAAGCAAAATCAGATTAGTATTTTGTAGGATATCCTTTACAATCAAGAATAGCTTGGCATCTATGAGGCATAGAGTCAACTAAATTAATGCAAACGTCAATGGGAATTAAGTCCCATAATTCTTTGATTTTATTAAATAAATCAGCATAATTTGTAGGCTTAATTCCTTTCATTTGACAGTCAACATGTTCCCATAGATGTTCAATGGGATTTAAGTCACATGATTGGGATGGCCACTTCAAAACATTAACTTTACTCTCTTTAAAAAACTCTATAACCGATTTAGCTGTATGTTTGGGATCGTTATCCTATTGGTAAATCCATCCTCGAGGCATTTCATCCTTTGCATATGGTAACATAATAGTCTTACATATATCTTTGTACTTTTCTTGATTCATATTCTCAGTAATTCTTTGGAGAGGACCAACTCCATTTCGGCTAAAACATCCCCAAACCATTACATTACCTCCTCCATGTTTTACAGTAGGCAGTTGGTATTTAGGATTGTACCTAGTACCTACTGGACGTCGAACATACCTGATTCCATCGAATCCAAACAGCATAAATTTGCTTTCGTCACTAAAAAGAATTTTTGATTATTTTTGACTACTTCACTTTAGATGTTTTGATGCAAATTCCATTCGGGCGTTACGGTTTTTCAAGGAAACTAATGGTTTTTTAGCTGGACGTCTTCCAAACAAATTAGCGTGACGTAAACAACGTTTTATAGTAGAAATACTACAATTCATTCCATAGAAACGGCTCATTTGTACGTTTAAATCGACAGCTGTCAAACGGGGATTTTCTTTGCTTAGTATTACAAGCTTTTTATCCTGATAACGCGTTGTTTTGCGTGGCCTTCCTGATTGATTTTTATTCTTTGTAGATCTAGTAAGCTCAAATCTCTTCATAATTTGTCCAACAGCAGACTTACCAACTCCATAAAGCTGTGCTGTTTTACAAAACGAGTTTCCATTCTGAACTGATCTCAAGATCAATTTTTTTACTGGAGATGAAATACATTTCTTAGATCCCATGATCTCAATCACTTATATATAAAGTTTTGAAATTATTTCCACAAAGTATTTGTTTATAAAATCAACAAATTAGCTATTTTGTGGTGAAAATGTTAAAAGCATTAGTTTGTCCGCAAACTTTTGAACTTATCAAAAGTCGCCATTTTGTTAACCAATTTTAAAATGATAATTAAATATTTATTATTTGTTTAAAACATAATTGTTAACTTGGAAACCTTTTAATTGGTATATAATATGCTGGCTTTAGTGAAATATGTGCTGAAATTTAAGTAAAATTCCTTATTTTTTTGCCTGTTCGCAAACTTTTGGACGCTACTATATATATATAGATATATATATATATATATATATATATATATATATATATATATATATATATATATATATATATATATATATATATATATATATATATATATATATATATATATATATATATATATGTATATATCCATAGGTATAAATATAAATATCTTAAGGTATATATTTTATTCCCATAGATAAATCATTTATCATATACAGTGTTGTAAAGTATTTTAATTACTAGTATTTTAAATATCTATTTTAAAAACTTTTGAAGTATTTGTATTTTGCATTTCAAATATTTTTTCAATCAAGTAATTTGTATTTGTATTTAAAATACAACTTTGGAGGTATTTTGTATTTTCAGTGTTTTTCAAAATACAAAATACTATACAATTTTTTTATTTAAATTTTTTTTGCCAATAACAGAGGCAGCAAAAGCATTTTTGGTCTTTGAGATAACTTCCAGACATGTAACAAACTCCAAACATTTATATGTTTATACTTATGTTAAATAAGGATGCTTTGCAAAAAGTTGTGATGATTGAAGGTTGGAAACAAAAAAGCCCAAGAATTTTGTCCCCCTGCCCCAAACGTGAGAGCAACAAGTTGATGAAATATTTTTTTGCATTATTTTCAACTAGACTTATATTTATCAATAAATTTTAAATTTCATAGTATAATATTTTAGTGTTTAAAAATTATGACCATATAAAGTTTAAACATCCCTCAATTTGAGGGGGTTGCAAACTTTATATTGTCATAATTTTTGAATACTGAGAGATAATACTATGAAACTTAAAATTTATTGATGAATACAAGTCTCGTTGAAAATATCCACAAAAAAAAATCAACTTGTTGCATAATTTCTATTATAGAAATTTTTCCCTTTTATTATACATAAAATGGAAAAAATATTACATGCAAAAACACTTAAAAAAAAATTCTTTTAATAATATTAAAAAAATAATAATAATGATAAAGTAATTATTGAGTTATATCTTGTGACATAAGAATAACAAGGTTCTGTCTCCCTTTTGTAATTTTGAGAGAATTGAAGAAAATTTGTTATTGAGTTAAATTGAGTTAAAAATCAAAATTTGTTAAATTAGAAAATTAAAAATTTATCTGTTTCAATAAAAGTAATAAAAATAAAAGCTTGCTTAAAGCATGCTTTTATTTATTATTGTTTAGAGCATGCATTTATTATTTATAAAGTAATATAGATTAGTACACAAACTTCAATAAATAAAGCTAAATTCAATAAACAGTAAAAGTGGGAGTTATAAATGTAAGAAAAAGAGATCCAAATGATGCTAGCTTGTCCACAAGTAAAGTAAATAATTTAATTATCAACTACATTGTAAGTGAATTTTGACCACTAATAACAGTTGAAAAACAATCATTCAAAGATTTAGTCACCAGTCTTTCTCCCTCATCCACAGTTATGTCTTGTCCAACTCTTAGAAAAAAACTAGATAGTAAATTTGAAATTATATTAAAAATAATTAGAGATCACATTCAGGAGTCAGTTTCTATATGTACTACAGCAGACATATGGAGCTGTTTAAAAAGGAGCTATATCGGAGTTAAGGCTCACTGGAACAGAGAAGATTTATCTTGAATGTTTATTGCGCTTGTCTGAAAACGTTTTAAAGGAAGTCATATGTTTAAGGCAACTGCAGAGCAACTTTTTAATATATATTCAGACTTTGGGTTTGATCATCACAACATAGCTTTTACTGCGACTGATAATGGTTCAAATTTTGTCAAAGCATTAAATGAATGCCAAGATGATAGCAATTTTGATGACAGTGAAAATGTGATATCATTAGAATCAGCAGAACCACAAAGCTCGTCAGATGAAGAAAATACACATGAAGTGGAGATGGTAGATGTTGACACCATTCTGACAAATGAGCAAGAACAAACAAGTAACAACAAATATTTATCAAAGAGATGTGCTAGTCATACTCTGAACCTGTCACAAGTTCCAAAATCGAATTAAAATGGACAAGGTTTATATAAATAACAGTACAGGGGAGCAATAGCTAATTGCTCAAAACTGTGATCACGTGTCAGCCAAAGCACACAAACATCTGATGCTGTGGAGAATTAAACTAAAGTTTGATTGAGGACACCAGGAGAGACTGGATGGAATTCAACTTATGATGCCATATGTCAACTTTTGGAGCAAAGGGTAAAAGAAAAGCTCCCCCAAATCATGGATGCATTGAAACTGCCTTGTTTTAAATTAAAATTTTTAAATTTTAAATTGTTTTAAATTAAAATTTTTAAATTAAATTAAAAAACTAGTGGAGTTGGAGGTATTGGAAGAATACAAGCAGTATATGAAACTTATTGCTGATGTTCTGGACAAACTGCAGGGGGAAAATAATTTTTTTCTGGGGTTCCTGATGCCAATGGTTCAGCAAGTTCGAAAGAAACTTGTAGTGTTTATTCCAAAAGTAATCCACAGTGGAAGTTTAATTTCAAACATAGATCAGCATTCCCTACATTTGTTTGAATACAATAGTTCATCCAGAATCTATGCAATTGCAGCTGGATCTCATCCTCATTTGAAACTGCAATGGTTTCCAGAGTAAAAGAGAGACTGGGTTAAAAAAGCCTTCATAAAAGAGGCACAAAAAATCAGTTTAGTTGAAAGTTCTGCAGATGCTGACGAAGCATCAACATCTGAAACTGATGATTTTTTTGAATTCAAATCACCAAAAACAAGCATACAAGCTAGTCAGACAAGCTAGTCAGACAGCAGAGTGTTTACAATATCTTGAAGTTGGTTTATACACATCTTCATTAGCATGTTTGGAACAATATCCAGTTGTTATGAAACTTTTCAGAGATGTTAATGCAAATGTTCCATCGTCTGCTTTAGTTGAACGCCTATTTTCTAAAGAAGCCTTAATTGCAGTGCCATGCTGCAATGGGTTATCAGAAAACATTTTGTATTTTAAATGCTTTTATATTGAGTATTTTGTATTTTATTTTTTAAATACCTTCACTTGATTGTATTTTGTATTTTTATTTTAATTACTTTTTTGATCCAGTATTCATATTTGTATTTTAAATACTTTTTTCAAAGTATTTTTACAACACTGATCATACACTTTTTACATAAATGATTACATATATGTAGATATATGATAATATCATGATGATATATTATAGATAATATCATGATGATATATTATATTATCATATACCACCATATAAATATGCAGATATCATATCTGTAGATATCATCTATGTAGATATATCATCATATATGTAGATATCATCTATGTAGATATATCATCATATATGTAGATATCATACCACTTGTAAAAATACAACAATCACATATCACTATAATAACTATTGTGGTTCATTTAGCTATTTATATTTGACTTTGTTAATTTTCCTTAATGTATTTTTTTAATGCATTTATGATATTACTGTTATTAGGATTTATTCATTTTATTTTTTATTGAAAATATAATGAATAAATACTAACAAAACAGT